CAATTATACAAATTGGTGTAGCAATTAGATATTTCTCTTGTGCACCTACCAAATCGTTTTATATTAGTTATACAAAAGTATATAATTATTTGGGGATTTACAAAAATGTGGAAGTCAAGCGAACTTTGGCCAGTTGTACAATATCGGGAACGCAAAACTTTCAAAATATCTTAGTTTCTAAAGGGTTGCGGTACACAAATTCGTGTCATAGCGGGGAAAGACTAATTTCATTAAACAACTTGTTAGTCAAGTGACAAAAAAAAGTCAAAAAAATCATAAGTAAATAGTACAAAAAAACATTAAGCTACCTTCCCATCATGGTGATAAACAATAGCTTTATTTCCACTGGATACATGAGCAGTATCATAAGTGGAAACGATACATTGCCTGTTACAATGATCCACGTGTACCATTCAAACAGTCCAATACAGCTCCTAAGAAGGACCCCAGAGTCACCATCATCCCCCCAAGATGGACAAGAGAGGAACATCACGCTACTTATGAGGGGCGGCATGCAGGGCTGGATTAGACTCAGAATAAATATTGCAATCGGAACCACACCTACAGAAACTGTTGCACATGCCCCCATAAATAAAAAATTACGTGTTGCTTTAATACTCCCACCTGTCGTTTAATTATATGAGATTCATTGTTATTTCAGTTTTATGAATAGTAATAGGTAACAGAATAACATATCATTACCAATCCTTGCCCGACATGTGTTTTCGATGAGCATGCAAGAATTAAGCCTAATGATGCATTCACTTTGTCCCCTGATGACATATTGAATACCAAATGCCATTATGGCAAAGATTATCACGCAATACGTCATTAAGATAAATTTCCAGTTCTCGACGGAACTAGACAGATCAATCCATTGAATTATAAAGTATTGTGGACATGGCCAGGAATGGGTATAAATACGTAAAGTAGCGAGATTTATATGGTTGAAACACTTGGTTTCGTAGCCTAATGGTTACTTGGTTCGTTATCATGCAAATTTTGGAAATTAAGAGGACCAATGGAATATAGGATTCTATTCGAGAAAGGTGCCGCAGCTTTTTAAAATTAAGTATTAAGGAATATATTTTTGACTTGGTAATTAGGGAACACATTTTAGATAACATTCGCCTGGAGTTGGTAAGCTTTGTCTGGTCAACTGTCTTCCCAACATTTTGACTATGCAAGAAGGTTTAACTGCTTGGTGAAGATTTTATTTAGATTGCCTGATTAATGTTTATTTATTCATGATAGAAGAAGGTTCGGTCATAAATCATATTTTATACCTGCCTGGCTTTATATCAATAATTAATAGCAGGCCGATACCAGTCAAGACAGAAATAAACAATTGGAATTGTTTGAGTTCTCCTTTCGCAATAATTTTAAAGCAATTACGAAGAGATACGGGCCACCCTTCGAATCCACATTTTACCTGGGTTGAAACCCAATACATATTAATTTTCAAAGGCTCGTTACATTATCAGCCGAACCATCAGAGATTAATGGGAAACAGGTAATCCATTTTTATGAGTTATTGACTTCATTTTTTTCAGTTGGACAACCATCTTACTTATATCTTACTTATCTTACTTATATATGTATGTACCTGATTAAAATGTTAAGGTAAACGAGTAATAAAATATTTAGTAAACCTATCAATAAGAATTATTTTACTCCACGACTGCAGTTATTACCTGCATGGTAATGCATATATTTCTACCAGCGACTTTGGACTACGCAAGCATAGGGTACGTTATTCGCTGTCCCCATTATCTCCTCTTTTTACAAGGTTAAGGTATAAATCGACCAATTGTTGGCATCGTCAGTCAAGGATCAAATTTATTCAACCTAAAGAAATTATACTTCTACCCAAACAAAACTTACATGTTTACCAATAATGCACACCTGTAATGCATACATATGTAAGTCATGAAATACAATTTTTTTAACCAGTTAAATAATAAAAACGAAATGTAACAATAGAGTGAAACAAGTAATGCTCACAAAAAATATGAAACGACACCATCTGACTTACCATCAACACCATCTGTCGAGTTTCCCCACAAAGTTGACATGATCTTCCCCCTCTGGGGTCGTGTGTATGTATGAATCCGCTAACCGGACTCGATTTCTTCGATCCCCTGTCGAGGTATATTGCTGACGGTCGGACAAAGTCTTCACAATAAAGTAGCTGAGGCTACTAAATAAACTGGCCTAATCGAATCATGCAAATTTATCATCGATCGGTCGTTACATAAATTCTTCATGCTACCAAACTTACGAAAGAAACGTTTTTATTTTCTGTTTTTTGGTTCTTTGTGCTGACCTCATCAAAATCGGAGTTTTCCATGTCCAAGATTGTAAGAAAGTTATTTTTAAAACGAAATGGGTTCTCAATTAACACGTTCTTACAATTATTTGCAAATAATTCTACAGTCAAGAGCAAAACTTTACGACATATGGAAGAGACTTTTGGGACATGTTATTCAAATGGGGAATTAAAGGCCGTAAAGTTTTGCACCGCGTACCTTTCCGAATAATTTTTTTAACGCTGTGATATAATTTTTATTGAATAAAGCGTGCAAAAGTAGGGGGTGACGTGGTAAATTATTTTTGTCGCCGAATCTTTTTCAAGGAACTACAAGGAATTGAAAGAATTAATTTTGGAAGAGACTTTTGGGACAGCCATAAGCACAATGTGTTGTCCCAAAAGTCTCTTCCAAAATTAATTCTTTCAATTCCTTGTAGTTCCTTGAAAAAGATTCGGCGACAAAAATAATTTACCACGTCACCCCCTACTTTTGCACGCTTTATTCAATAAAAATTATATCACAGCGTTAAAAAAATTATTCGGAAAGGTACGCGGTGCAAAACTTTACGGCCTTTAATTCCCCATTTGAATAACATGTCCCAAAAGTCTCTTCCATATGTCGTAAAGTTTTGCTCTTGACTGTATAATTCTCGTAAGAAATTCAAAAATTGTTAGATTTCGTTTCTTCATTTAATTTAACGATAAGTCGGCAAGATTAAAGAGGCGAGTTATAAATGTACAAATTTATTTTATTTCTCCAGCCGACCATTGTTTTCTGAGAATTCCAGTTCAAAAAATTCCATTGAGTCTGCCATAATGCTGAGTCAGCATTTCTGACGGTACATATGTATGCGTCACTTGTTTTCGTTAAACTAAATTTAATATAGGGTTCCGTTTTTACCATAAAATTCGCATTCTTAACACTGGTAAAAATTGGAATAAAGTTATGAATCTAATCTTCAGCATAGTGCAATTTGAATAGATTTTTGTCCACCTAGCGTAAAATGTGAGTACATTTTACTACTGGGTTACTCCATGAGTTATGGTAATGGACCTGATGTCGAAAATCGATTTTTATGAAATCCTTCAAGTATGTGGTAGAGGACCTTAAAATATGCAGAAAAATCATTTTCCCCGAATTTTTGAGGTTTCAATGGGGCTGCTAGGAGGGGGTGTGGCTTCCGTTGAGATACCACCTTTTCCTAGCCGCTATTGCACGCAGGGACTCCAAATTTCACATGAAGTTACTATGGGCCAATACAATTGCGGGTCTTTTTCTCTTTTTTGGACATTAGGTCACGGTGACCTTTTTTAGGTCAAGATTCACAACGCGTCAAATTTCTCCGAAAAGTCAAAGTCTCAAATCACCCCATAAATCGGGTATCGTTGGAAAGGTCTCGGCAAGAGGATTAAGAATATATATACTTTGTAGGGTGTACGACCACTCCCCAGTCTTCCTAAGGCTGACAAATATTTTTGAGTTTGTCCCATCTATTTCTTTGTTAGCTCGCCAATCTGCTATTGTGTTAAAATCTGGAAGCAATGAAAATTCTCATTCTACTGCTTCTGGAAGGTCAGGGGGAAGCTATATGCCGGACAAAGTATATATATTCTGAATCCTCTTGCGGAGACCTATGTAACGATGCCCCATTTATGGGGTTATGTGAGACGATTTACGAAAAAAATCGACATAACGCACATTTTGACCTAAAAACGGTCACCATGACCTAATTTCCAAAAAAGAGAAAAAGACCCGCAATTGTATTGGCCCATAGTAACTTCATGTGAAATTTGGAGTCCCTGCGTGCAATAGCGGCTAGGAAAAGGTGGTATCTCAACGGAAGCCACACCCCCTCCTAGCAGCCAAATTGAAACCTCAAAAATTCGGGGAAAATGATTTTTCTGCATATTTTAAGGTCCTCTACCACATACTTGAAGGATTTCAAAAAAATCGATTTTCGACATCAGGTCCATTACCATAACTCGTGGAGTAACCCTACTGGGTAAAAAAATTGGGATCACTATGACTTGATTCTTGAAAGCGCGACCACGCAATAGAAATTTATGTATTACATAAATTTGTAATTGCATGGTTTGATTATAATGATAAATTTACTTAAACTTAACTGGATATCATTTATAACTTTTACGCAAATATTTTTGTCATCCCAAATTTTTCTCATTTAGTTAGACTGTAAATAAATGTGGATATCTGAAGTTGGTCAAAACGTTTTACGAGAAAGTCGTAGAGTTTCCAGGTATTAATTACGTACTGTCAGCTAAAAAAATCAGGAAACGTCGGATTCAGTCATTTTTACCACAAATTAATATTCCAAATGGAAAATTATGAAGATACATAAATATATATCTTCTTAAATACTACGGATTATTTTACATTATTTGTCTACATATTTTCCCAAAAAAATACAGAACCATGTACCCTCAATTAATAATATGCGCTATACATACATACATATGTAGTTGCCCACTACGCGTTTAATGGTTCAAATTCCAATTACAATTTTAATTCACACATAAATACACTCATTGTTCTCACAAAACCATTGACAATTTTTATGCCTAAGAAATCCCTGACGTTTTACATTTATTGTCACGTACGTACTTACGTATGCAAAATAACAAATTGCATAAAATATTTTAAACCTAGGCAGCTGGTTCCCAATCCGAACTTCAGTCTTGATCCTGCCAGCCAAATTCTACCTAAAAAATTGGTTTCAAGATGAATTCCCGGGGGCCAATGAGTCTTCCATTTTTTGCCATCATCACTGCTTTAGTATCCACTTTTCCAGGGAATTTCGTAAGTGTTAATCCATTAAAAATATATTTTGGTCTCCTAACGTATATATGCTCTCCGATTTTGGCAAATTATGGTCAATCGATCACAAATTTAATTGGAATTAAATTTGCTAAAAACAAATTCTCCCAATGGGACCATCCATATATTATCTCAGCAAAAATTATCGATTTTAACACACATACATTAAGGGATAGGGAATTTTAATATGGGAAAGAAAGGCAAACCTAAACCACCCATCTATTAAAATGATGACGCAATATATAAACGTTCATCATCGGCCCGATTGGCATAGATTTTGCACGCGAAGAAGAAAACAAACATCTCAAAGTCGACAAATTTTACGTTTTCAAAACTTACGTTGCATTTACTCCTATTCGGATGCAAGTACATATCTGTGCCAAACATGCCTATGGGGAGATTATGACTTTTTAAATAATACTTAAATTCGTAATCCTTTGATCCCAGTTTGTTTAAAATTAGAAATCATTCGGTGGGAGATTTCCATTGCTTGTAGAAAAAAAATTACTGAAAAATTATTAAAATCTATTCTTCAGGCTGCCAAGATGCGGACGAATATCGTCGAGGAGATCAACAACCACGCCACGTGCAACGGCGATTCCGTCGTCGTCCCGCCCGAGTGGCTCGTGGAAGTCGGGCTGGCCACTACGAAGTGCTTATCAATCACGGATGATGAGGTGGGTAAATAAAATCGTTTAATAAAATCAGACACAATAAAGTAGTGTCAGAAAGTGAAATTATCAATTAAACCTAATGATTTATCTCGCCGTCACGGTCGTGGGCTGGTCATAAATATAAAAATATATATGTGGCGAAATTTCCTTTAAAATGACACCAACCCATACATGTTCAAAAAATATTTATTCATTCAAAGCCTTGAAAAAAATATTCATTCCTAATTCACTTATTCATAATCTGTAAAAAAAATATATTCATTAATTATTCAGCTTAAAAGTTACATAATTAATGAATATTTTAAAATGAATAAAATTATTCATTATTCACTATTCTTTTGTTATTCCTTTTAATCAAAATTCATAGTATTAGATGAATTTCCTAACTTTCCTTATGTATGTATTAAGCATTGAGTTAAAAATGAATGATGAAACAAATATTCATTGCTTATTCATTAACACGAATTGAATAGATATTCACTCAATATTTATTTATTGAAAAATCAGAATAAAATATTCATTGAAAGTATGGATATTTAATGAATAATTTCTTCATCAATCATTAAATGAATGAATGTGAACATGTATGCAGAAAACATTAAAATTAGGGTTAAACTTAATTTTGCTCCCACCCATTCGCCCCTTGTGGGGGGTGGTCTGGTTGACCCCATATCGAACTCGACCATGAACTAAAAATTAGAAGAATAATAGAGGACGCCAGCGTTGAGCCACGTTCAGACAGACGGACAGATGGACGGACGGACTGACAAATCGATGACTGAAGCGGCTGAAACCCCATAATAAATAAATAGGTTTCATTTTTTTGTTTTTCGGACAAATTATTTTTTACAGTGTCACAAATTGTGCGTCGCTATGAGTTACGAAGGGCCCGTGAAGAATGGGAGGCTGGATAAGAAATTTTTGCGGAAAGAGTCCCGAAAACTTCAGCTGAGCAAGAAGAACGAAAAGTGGAGGGAGTGGATGCTCAAAGAAGTTGAGAAATGTGCTGATGCGAGTAAGCTCATAATGCAGCATTTTTAACAGTGGTAGAAATTAACAAGGTGGGAGAAACGGGAAAAACATGGTTTGTGCGAAATAAGGTCCTTCTCAGTATTTAGTTTCTTGCTATCTAGTTGCATATTTTGCGCTGCAACGCAAGAAATGAAGTGGTTGTACCTTTTTCCATATTTCTCATTTTTCCCACCTGGTTTACATATTTAAAAATTTGACCATTCGAAACACTACATTTAAATTCTTGCTGCCATTTTGCCAGTGCCCGATGTTCACATGCCCACCGACAAGACAGAATCGTGCCCGGAAGTGAAACCATTTCAGGACTGTGTAGAAGATAAATTTCAGATTGCGTGTAAAGGCAAAAAGCCAGATACTGAGCTATTCCTGAACGATGACGACGACTAAAAAGAAGTTGATTTAACGACCCATTGTTAAATTTTTGCTGAGATAATTGCGAAATAATGTAAATGTACATATATTACATACACATATCAATTTTTTTACACATTTTACAAGATTAAATAAATTATGGATACAAGTTATAGCAAAATCAAATTTTATAATCAAATTGAAAAAACTTATTCGTTTACTAAAAATTCCGAAATAAATATTTCCTTATAATTTACTCGTTTATAACTTTTATCCCATCTTTTTCCAAATATGTAGATGGATTTCTCAATATTCCCCCCTGTCACATTAAACATTTGATGACAAGTACACTCTTGAAATGCATAATTTTAATGTTAACCTTACGAAAAGTAGGGGGGTGTGCAAAAATCAGCGTCATTTTAGCGTCCATAAATCAGTCATAAATCAGTGTCCATAAATTATGGACGGTCCCTGTTGACAAAAGATGTTTGCAGTGAAACGGAAATAACCTTGTCCCATTTTGGGTAAGAATTTCCCAGTATCTTGTGGTGAGCAGCGCATGCAACATGCATATTTCTCTGACCCGTCCGACTATGTATTTGTTCCACTCCACAGAGTTGGATATTTGGATGGAGGGAGATCCTCCGAAAAAACATGGTCAAATTTGAAATAACAAATATGCATGGGATTCATATGTAATTATGGATAATATCGCGTTACGAATACGGATAATAACGCGTAAAAAATTTTCCATTGTGAAAAATTTAATGAAAAGTAAAGTTCAAAATTTAAAGTTCAAATTTTTAAAAAATTAATGAATTGTTATGAATACTACCATGAAGTTTGAACGTTCCTGACTTTCGAATTTTTCTTCTGAAAGTTATGGTTGGCGGAGTTAAAAATGTTGGTCAAACTGTTTCCGGCTCTACTCTAGCCTACTCCATAGCTCGCATTAAATTGGTCCATGGTTCATAGATGGACCAACTTTTTGCTGTCCATGGTCCATCATGGACCATTTTTATCCGTGGACTATGGTTCATTGCGAGCTATGGCCTACTCTGTACAGTTAAATCACTCTATCTAAATATACAACTCTATAGTTCACTCTGCAGCCCATTTTTATCAGTCATACATACATACATATGTAGATATTTCATGCCCACCCTTTCAATGCGAAGGGATACGAGGCTACATGTATATATGTGAATGCATTGACCGTTGAGCAGTCAGTCACCAAATTCCAAAGTTGTACAGCTGGACAAACTTTCTCTTTTCATAGATCTTGCAAACCTTACAACACAGGTAAATCAGATATTTTGTCGCACATTAATTAGAAGATCAGTCCAAAATGTACAAAAATATTTGTAAAATTTGTCTAATGCCACCTCTAAATTGCTCTGCTTATTTTCTAAATAGATCAATTATTTCAAAGCAAGATGGACAACGCTGGATCTCTAGATTTGGAGAAGAATCATCAAGTCGTAAGGAACAGTTTGGTAATTAATAAACCGTCACAACGAATGTAACCAAGGGGTGAAAGAAGTGTGTTATCCGTATTTCAATTCAAATTGATGCATGTATGCAATTTGACCTTTAAATGACATTTCATGACCTTTTGACCTTGATGGGTGTGACCTACAGTGCCCATCTTCGAACTCGTCCTCTCTATTGACGTTAGGAGTTTACGTTCAAAATTTCAAGTGTCTATGTCTTTTCGTTCAAAAGTTATCGGAGCTACGGACAGACAGACGGACGGACGGACGGACGGACGGACAGACAGACGGACATAACGATCTTATAAAGGGCTTTCACCCCTTAATTAATATTTAAGTCTAATTAATTCTCAGAGTTTCGAATATCGATGTAGTCAGAGTACCGAACTGGTGTCCAATTTAGCGGCGGTGTCAATTTTGAATAATTCATCGGGCGCGGCGCGGCGCCGTAATGTTTGAAATCAAATTCATCGCCGGCGGCAGCTCTTAAAATGATACTGACGCCGCGGCGGCGAAAAATTGGCAAGACTATAGTTAAACTATTTATGCAATAATCGCCAAGAACTAGGACAACTTTTAGACTTTCTCATAAAATTCACGGGTAATTCACTTTCTCAAATATGCAAAATATGTACATATTTAACGCCGCCGATTTTACTCGTTAAAAATCTGATTTCCTTTTCCCACGGGGCCTAGCCGTAAAATTGGTCAACCTTGAGTTCAAATTTACATACGTACTTTTTTACTCAGCTCAAAACCGAAGTCCGATTGAGTATACGTAGAAAAACGTTTAACCTTTTTTCAGACTACATTTGATTGTATAATGAGTCAAATTTTTAAAAAAATCAAGCCAAAAATTAGGAATCTTATCTTTATTTGAATGGACCCTTTATACAAAAATATTAGTTGAATTTTTCGCCCTTCACGGACGAAAACCAAGAAGTAGGTAGGAGCATTCCCCCAATAATTCTTGTTATTTCATGGATAAGTTCCTAATTTTTGGCTTAATTTTTAAACTTGGTTCGTTCTTTATCCTGTCCCTGTGTAATTAAAAAAAGTTTCATTCTGAATACCCCCATTAATACATACGTACGCAACCTGAATAAGATCTACCCTAATCTTTTACCCCTTCATAAATTTACAGATTGTCCACCATATTACAAAATTCCTCCCCAACTCCGACCTCATTACAATCACCCAGGTCAACTCGACATGGGAAGGGGCCGCCCGCAAGCATCTCTTATCCCGCTGCCCTGTTCGTCTCACCCCAGATCCGCTGGGTACCTACATATCCCTGATGCAGTCCTGGGGCCATAAGCATGTCCAACTCGCTTTCGGAGAGTACCCAAAGTCCCAACTGCTCTCGGAATATCAAATATTTTCCAACCAGCAATCCCACTTCGTCACCACGCTCGGGATCGACTGGGTCTTAAACGTGAAGACCCGATGGAGTCACGAATTTTTCAGAATATTACAATCATTCCCCCACGTCACGTCGCTACAGCTTAACGCCCTTATTCACCTCAAGGACCCCGTCCCCTATCACCACCTCGACGATAATGACGCTGTCGACTTTACCGACGAATGGCTCAGTTCCCTCGTCCCGACAGATTTCTACCTCCCAAAAGTTACCAGATTGGTAATAAACGTGCATGAATTCTTCTCCATGGCTTGGCTAGGAGAAACGATTGAGAATTTTTTATCCGTCACCGTGAAACGAACCCTCCCCCGAATCTTCCCCCATTTCCAGAACCTCACCCATTTTGGGGGGATTAATCTACAATGGAAAGAGTCTGATGTGGAGAACCACGGGAATCTGCTACCGGCATCCGTTACAAGTTTATCGATCGAGGATATTCCTTGTCGCGGTCAGGGGAACCGTTTCGTCCCCCTGAATTTTGTCCCCGGCTGCATCACTCGCCTACAATTTCACACCATTTGTCATCAACACGAGGAGAACCGTACGATTGAGAACGTCTTGATTAAAGTTGCCCCCACCTTGACGCACCTCGAATTCTCGCGTATCGAAGTTTGCGAACCTTTCCGAGTTCGAACAATCATCTGTCCACCTCTCCCAAAACTCAAAGTTTTCAAGATATCGAGAAATCCTTATCAAGGGAAGGGTGCTTCCCCGAACTATGCCGATTACAGGGTCGAGATCAATTTTGAATTTGCATCCGCGCAAAATCACCACGTGCTCAGTTATGCGGAACAGTTTCCATGTCTGGAGATCATAATTGTTCAAAACGATTGGAGTCACGTGAGACCTCGAGATTTTGAAGTGATCCCGAATGGCTCCTCTTTTGAGACTTTGGTCGAATTTTTGTACCACAATTTTATGCCCGAAGGTGTCTCCCCGTGTGAGACGGTGCGTCGGGTGGATATCCCGTACCCGGCCGGGTTAAAGTTCCGATGGTGTGGGGCTAATTGTAAGTGGGAGTGGAGGGATACGGAAGAATTTTATGACCGGGTTGCGAGCACCTTTCCAAATTTGGGGTATCAGATTTTGGACCCCGTGTGGCGAGAGAAGAGGAGAAAGGGGCTCAGGAATATTGTTGAGATGGCGAGGAATTATGGGTTTTCGGAGGAAGATATCCACGTCATGATGAGAAATGGGGATGTCAGGGTGAAATGAATTTATTACGGTCCCTTAAAAATATTGCTTCCCTTTTTTGAAAGAAGAAAAATCCATCTTCGCATTAAAACCATGGAACTGTGCTCTAAATGAAAATACAAAAACTTTATCTAACCTTTAATTAAAGAAAATAACACAACCGAATGGTGAAACTTATCCTTCCAAAATGTATCCATTCTTTGGATTAACTTTATACGGCACTGGATTATTTTCCTCATTGACATTATACATATGTTTTTATGCAATTAATTACATAATTTTAGTGCAAGTAATTTTAAATTTGATGATGTATGTACATAGAGCACTTATAATAAATAATTTCCTCAAATTTCTCAGTTTATTATTTTTTTACATTCACGTTCAGTCTTTGCGAAAGTCAATGTGCATATAAATTGTGTATAATTAGTAAATTATCAATAATTTATTTGCGTATATTTAATTAGTTTCAAGCATTTCGTAAATAAGACGGCATGGTTTAGAAAATTTCCCAATGTTTCATATGAAAACATGTGGACTAAAATTATTCCAAATTAGGAGAAATTCCTGAATTTGACGTGCATACACGTCAAAATTCTCGAAACAAATGGGAGATTCTTTGTAGATCTGTGCGTACATGGTACATATATATAAATATATGTAGATTTGTCAAAACAATTTTATGGCATTTTTTTATTATTATTATTTTCGCCAGGTTTGAATCGTTTGAACCGTGGCATGACCAGAAGTATGTAGTTTCGGGTGGCCAAACGCTGAATGAGAAAACCATGTTAAATACCAATTTTGGAATCTTGGAATTTTGGAATTTTGGAAGTAATTAAATATTTACCTCCATTTCCCAACCTCATTTTATCGAAGGAATGCACATCCTGCTCCGCAAAGTATTCCACAAGCCTGCGTTTTCACAATCATAGGACGTGGGTGGGAAGCCAGACAATTTGCCATGCATCGATTGAAACATTCCGTGTAAGTTTCTGAATCCGTTCCATTTATCAATGCAGAAAGAAATAGGAAAAGGTAGAACCTTGCCACATTAATAAAGTAAGAGTAAGAAATTTTAGTTTTCGTTTAAAATAAAATCGATGCAAATTTACATAATAGTGTTGCGAATGAGCTGTAAGTAAAAGATGCGTTGGCCTTAAATGCACTACAATCAGTCAACCACCTGCACAAAATTGAACTTTTAAGCTTTTTTTATTCTTAAATATTCGTGGTGCAATTAAAACCAATGAATCTTCAGCTCATCGGAAGTACTGAATAATTTAATATTAAGAATTTAATTCTTCACTTACCACTGCAGTTCCATCAGGACATCAGATGAATGTAAACGCATGTATGGATTTACATTATTTCCAGAAGCTTACAATTTAATTTAAAATATAAGTGGCTGACTTTTTTATACGACGAGGCAGCTTTTAGCTCATCGCACAAAACAAAATATAGTAAACATGCACAACTTGACGTGCATGTCGTTTGGAAATACACTACACACATAAACATGTTGCTTATACCAGAGCTTGGGAATGTTGTAAAGATACACATGTACAGTCAATCCAAGAAGTATTGGCAACCCCCACGGAAGCTAGAAACAATTGGCTATAACTTTTCCATGCATTATCAAATTTGCATAAAACTTTGTCCGCATTTGGTAAATCTAATGTAGTGTTCGATTATAATCATGCTTCCGATTAAAATTAAATAACCAGCACGTTATCCTGATTTTGATACGAACGAGTCAGGTACGAACCTCTAAAAAGTATTGGCAACCTGTGTCATAATTATTTGTACGAAATTTTTATAACGACAAACCTCTGCGTCTTGTCAAGGTAAGTTAATCAGATCAAAGAATTTTACTTTATCTGCTTCGTAAGTCCAGATTGGTATTGCCTAGAGCCAAAATGTCGACACCAAACGGGCTATTTTTGGCGGAGCGAGGAATAATCTTGCCTCCTTCAAAATCAAGCTTTTATATCGATAACTCAGACAGAAAACATGCTCCGTGATATTTACTATTGGAAACGTATCCAAAGAACATGAAGCAATTATTTTAGTTCGTGGTTTCCTATGATCCGGCTAAAAATGCCTCCTAATCCTAAAATCAATGGATTAATCAAGCAAATTATCACTCGAGATCGGGAGATTTCAGCTCCCATAACCATGTTGAATTTGAGTACGGAATGTGGGGTCAACATAGCATGCAATTTGGTGATCAATCAAAAATTATGCCATGGGGTTTCAGGGTCCAGTATCCCGACAGGCGGGAAGGTACCCAACGCGAACCAACTCAATAAATTTGAACGGGCTAAATACCATCATTAACAGAATTCCAATGAATGAAAAAGGAGCTGATGGTCTCACATAAGCTCATTTTACCTATTCGGAGCTAATTAAAGGGTTCAAGTCTGCCGGATGCATTAAAAGGCTCAGAAAAACGAATATGTGCATATAGCAGTTAAACACAGAGGAGATCGATTATGGTTTGGGGTTAAATGACCAGGTCGCGGCGTACTTATGTGGTCATTATCGGTGAAATCCTGACCAGGGGGGTCTAGGTAATCATTCGAAACGATAATTTGAAAAGATTTGACAAAAACATGACCCAGGAAGGAATTTCATATTCCAAAATTGCAGTGGCCCCAAACATGCATCCAAATTAACGATGCACATTTTTGGAGACCGAAAAATTTCAGCATCTTTCGTTGGCTGCACAGTCTCCCGATGTGATTCTTATTGTCCGGGTTGAGATAAGAGCGACTGCTGGGAAATCACTCGTCGAAAAACGAGCTTGTCAAAAGTTCGAAAGAAGATTGGGAAGCAGTATGAAAAAGCGTTAGAAAGAAACTGGTCGAGTCAATTACAAGGCGAATTTTTGCTCTTATTGCGTCGAGGGGAGGTGGTGCGCTGTACTAGTCGCAGTTTATCGAAACAAAATTGCAGTGTCTTTGATTATGATTTTTTTAAGTTAAGGGTTGCCAATACTTTTTGTGGGTTAATTTCGCAAATTTTCCAACAAATTATATAAAAACCGTGCCAATCTAATTTTAATCAACAAAGGATTATTATCATCGAATACCACATTAGATTTGTCAAATGTATGCAAAATTTCTGGCTAATTGGATAATGCATTCAAAAGTTATAGCCAATCATATTTAGCTTCCGTGAGGGTTGCCAATACTTGTTGGATTGACTGTATATGTAAAGTATGTTTGGTGAAAATACTATGCATGGAGATGACAGTAATGTTATGTGTTGGCAACTCTTGCTGTGATATTTCTTATTAAATATGGGGCGAACTTGAAACTGCGAGGGATGAATCGAGATCAATCTTATTGCTAAAACACCCTGACTGTGCAACGAATATGTGGCCAGTTACTACTAATTACTAGTGAACTTTCACCCACCAATTTATCTGCATTTAGTCAAATATATATTATGTGACAAGATCACCTGTGCATTCAATTTACGCAGTATTCTCTAAATCGTTTTGTTAATCTTACATTATACTTCTAAATAAAAATTTAGTTTTGATTACGTACCTTTATGGACCTTTAACATGATACAATATTTGTAAATACTTATACATTCATTCAAATGTAGAAGCATTGTTTCATAGATATATTCACAAATATTTTTTTAATTATCAAGAAAATGTTAAGTCGAGTTACAAATGTTAATATTTTGGATTATCAATGTCATGGACCGAAAGAAACATGAGACAATCCGCTATTCACCAAAATTTTAGAATTCGGAAGGAAAACTTACAGTATAACCTTTTAGTGAATCTTTCTGTAAGTCGACTGGTCTTATAGAACCGACTTAAAACCTCGTAGCATAAGCCAGCTAACATAGCTATGTATGCATGCATAAGTCATTTGCATGCGTCATGCTTCACTAAGTCTTTAATACACGCTATTTTCTAATTTGACAATCTTTGATATGAAGCCCTAGCCTAATCTATCCTAACCTAATTTAACTCATTGTAAGAAATATTGGTCTCGTAATTATCATAAGAGGTCCAAATGTGATTCGATCTCTAGATTTAAACCACTGGATCATCAAGCGCATCTCTCCTTTCCTCTGACCTCTGTATAGTGACCATTTCAGAAACAGGTGCCGCAGCTTCATTCTCCGGTTGTATTTTTGTGCACCTGATATTTAAATTTTGCTGTCGAAATTGCTTATCTCCCATGCATATTACTATAACTGGGGTGAATGTTATGGAAAAGCACACCACAGCAATTCCTGTGACAAGAAGGATGTGTTTGTTACTACTTTCTGGCCTATCAGAAAGCTTTGTTCCTCGACTCCTTTCAGTTGCCTGATAGAACGATAGGACGATTCCAAACGGAAACCAGAACATTATGTATGCCGCCATGTAAATAAACAATAGGCGAATCCTTCTCAAGCGGTCCGAAAGAATTGAAGGTCCAATGACCTAACAAAAGTACAGCGTAATTTTCTCTGCAGCAAGTATTTGCATCACGTAATTCCAAATTAAAACAAAATTATTTTCCAACTTACGTTGAGTCTCCTCCGTAAAAATTGGATCTTCCTTCGTGATTTGTACAAAACTATGACAAACGTTTTCAAGCAGTCACAATATATGGTGTAAAGCAATCAATACATCTTAAACAAATTAAAGATAGTTCCAGTTAAATGGGCTTATGTGGAATTTTTCAAATTCTGACATTTCTGAAATTTCAAGGTCTCAAATTCTGTTTGTAATTTAATTCTTAGGTAAAGACCACAAATTTAGGTCCCTCCAAGGTTATTAATCACCTTGCAGGTATAAACTGCCTCACAAGTAAAACAGGTTAAAGAACACACGATGAATCATGTAAATTGCCGCACCCAAATGAAATATAGCTGCTCGTCCAATTTCTACAGCAATTCCAACAGCAATATTCCCATACATTGAGACCTTAGAATACATAAGTTCCACATCACGTTATGCACTTTGTACAAATTATAATTAATCCAAATACATATCTACGGGTCTAAAATAGTAACCTTGACACATTTTGATGGTATTGTATCTCCACCCTTTCCTGCTACAGCTGGAGCAAAAATCGTTCCGAACAGGAAATGTATTGCCCCCAATCCAGAGAAGGCCCAGCAAGCTAAAATCTTCCAGCAGACGGTGGAGTTGATCCGGTGAGGCTGCCCTAGTTGATTGCATGCTTCTTCGACAATGGATAAAACCTGAAGCGGGTGCATATTGATCATCCAATCTGGAAAAGAAGAATTGCAGGTCTTGAGCACATTTTTACACTTTGCTGTAGTTAACGTTTAACCAGGAAGTTCATACTCCTTAAAAATGATAGAAGTTGGCACAACCATGCAGTGGATGAGGAGATGAAGCTTTCTCCGTTTCCGATATAGATTAAGGCCAGTATTGAGGCCAAGGTTGAGAGGAGTGACCAGTTTGCAATCAAAACGTTAACTGCCCTGAAATATTTTTGATAAGTTATACATATCAAAATTTAATAAAAATCCTTTAACGAAGAATAATGTGATCCTGTTTATTTGACTTAAAGCTGAATTCCCTAGTTACGAATAATTCCAAATGTAGATAATGAAAGCAAAATATTGAATTTCATGAATTTTAATTTCAGCTTATGTTGCATGGATATTGGTAAACAATGGTCACCCGAAGCAAATGGTGCAAATGGACTATATAAAACAACTTAAGTTGTCAAATTTCCGTATATCAGCAGCTCAAGGTATATGTAAGAATATGCTTACGTATAATTTTGCTTACTTTCGATTCTTAGTTGCTGCAATAATTATTATAACTGAGCCGTTTGCAAGAACTGATATTACACAAATGAATTGAAGTGATGTTTGAAAGATTACGTTCATTTTGGGTGTTAATTTATTCCTATTTAAGAAATCTTCAGTTGTTGTGGAAGAAAGAATCATCTACCAATCTGCGAGAAGGGCAGTGAGAAAGTACAGAGAGAAAGTAAAATGTCAGTTTATTCTGTTGCTTATTTCTTACACTCTTCCATCTGCTTTTACAAAGTTGGCTTTTTTATAATAATGAAACTTATAGTGCAAACGAATTTGAAACCTTATAATTCCATTGGAAAGATTTGTTAAGGATTCTGCGTAATAACTATATGTATATCTACCATTCGCTTTTTAGCAATAACAACATCACCTTGATGTGTAGGACTTCATACAATCTTTTCTGTGCAGTTGTCCTAACTAGTTGAAGTTTGCTACAAATTTCACCAGTAAGGTTTCTTTTCTAATGACATAACTTTTCTCTTTTACTCGGTGAATAACATGTTTTGTGAAGGTGTTTATACATTTGTTCCTGCAGTTTGAAATGTATTAACATGTATGCAAGTCGTGTAATATGGACCAGTACTGCTTCTATTCTTACACATGGATAACTTACTTCCCCTTGGTTTATTTTGTTATAATGTATGCAATATTAAATGCAAAATACTTAACTAAACGCCTTGAGACACTACTAAGCTAACCCTCGTCCCCATTATTGTAAATGTGATCAGTTGAATAGAGGTATAATTGTCCAAATGGTTGTGCAAATTATCAATATGAGGTAACGTTACAAAATAATGTACTTGAAATTTATAGGTATAATCGCATAGTTTACTGGGAATTTTTTAATTTCGATTTATCCTAGGCTTTAATCCGACCAAGGTGATGAGTGGGTTTCCCGGGTTTGCATTTTTTTAAAGTGTCTTGTATCTTGACAAGTATATATTTCAAATAAAAAAAATAAAATAAACTGTAAAGATAGAATTACACAATACACACGCCCTTGCAATTCCCTCAGATACAAGATATACATATTCCCCAGTATCCAGTACTTTGCAACTCTATTCATGAATCATAATATGCAAAACATTGCATTCAGCCTTAATCGTTAAGTCATATATGTAAAGACAAGTTATTTCAAATATAATAAGGTACAAGCTACAAAACACTGCCTTGGGAAACGCTCTGACAAAGGATTCAAGGTAAGAAACTAATTCGCTAGACAAGATGCATTATGAAAAAAATATATATTTCATCTGTATCTGGCATTTTGTTAAAGTACTTATCTTGACCACCTCTATATATTAACAAGTTAGCTGACATAAATTTTAAAAAAAAGCAGTTGATCGTGTCATAAATTAGCCTGATCAGCAGGAGCTCTTGAAATCGTAGCATTTTGTGTGAAACACAATTGGAATCTTGTTCATGTGCAGGAAATGTTCCACCCATTTCCATGTGGTTTCTTTAAACTACAAAAGGTCAAAATAATTATGTATGTAATAACAGGAAAGAGTCATGGAACATATAATGCTAAGAATAGATATATATTAGCCTGTAAGATCTCGAAATGTGTGGTCACACCCTAACTAAGTGGGGGATAATTCGGCACCCATGGGGAGCACTAGTTTCCCAATTTTGTACAACGATTAAACTTTGAGATCAAACGATGGAAAATCAAAGTTCGTAATGATTTTAGCTATTTGATCTTACCCTAACTCCATCAATGGTTACATTTTCCAGTCCCTTCATCGCAAAAAGAAACTCTTTAAAGTGTCCCTCCCCAATCTGCACAAGATCCAAGTCATCCTCTACATAGTCGTACAAATTTATATCCAAAGTCTTGAGATCTGTGCAGGAATTAATTGTTTCAATAAATCGATGAAAATACGTAATATTTATTATAAACAAGTGGGTGTACAGTTACTATTATTGCACTGATGAAGGCAAGCATTTATGTATGTACACCAGGTGTTGACAAGTAACAATTTTTTCTCGAAAAGGTAACTTTTCATGAATTTTGTAGTTTGTGCGACGCGTGGATAGAAAAATATATTTCTGCTTGTTTTTTATACTTCAATAATTTGTAATACTAAATGTAAAATTAAAAGAACGAAGCGTGCCTTAGTGTGCACGAATTTTTTTTATAAATTACGTAAAATGTTTACACCAACAATTATAACGACTTTGTACATAAATTTGTCCTAATATCCATATTTTCACGATTTCCAATTTCCTAACGACGCATCACAACCACTAAAAATTTGCGATTACCAAAATTAAAAAAAGATTAAGAAAAAAAATCACCTGCCAAACTAGAATGCTTCTCACCATACAAAACATCACTGTACACTGGCTTATGTAAAGCTAAATAAATAATTTCGTGGTCCCATTACCTTTTAAAAACTCTCCGCAATTTCCAACTTCTTCGCTAAACTCGGACAAATTCGTCAGCTCGTTGGAAAGTTCTAGCTCTAAATGTTTCAATCCCAGCGGGGCACACGCTGCTAGATGTTGCCCAACTTCAACCAGCTTTTCGGCACCGCGATTCCCGATCTGCATAATTGACAACCTCTCCAGCTTCGGGAATGGGCTTTTCAATGCCGAAATTAATTTGGGGTCCTCGACATTTGCCACGCTCAGGTTTTTCACCCCGCTAAATAAATCCTTCTTCTTGACAATCCTTATCAACACGCCGTCCAACTCGGTTTCAGTATTGAAGAGTTGTAAACTTTGTAACGTCGGGATCCTCTCGGTGGAAATGTCCCGCAACTTAACCCCACACTGAAACCAGTTCAGCATATCGTTCCTAAATTCTTTGAGCTTTGTCATTTGCGGGAGGTTAAAACCGATCTTGAAAGGTGGGACCGCACCTTCCGGATTTTCCGGATTTATGCCGGTAATATCGCTCTCAAAGTGTAAAAATTCCACGTGGTCTCTTACTCCGTGCAACATTTGGTTCAGACCGTGGACATGGCGACAATTCGGGACCACTTTTCTGTACCAACCCATCTCGATCCACTTCAAGGCTGTATGTTTACTTAAATCGGGATACTTGGCGCCATGCAGGTACGTAAAATGGGTCAAATTTAGGGCAGAATTTAGTAGCGCTTGAGTCACGGGGAAGGAACGAAGAGTCCTTCGTGTCATCCATTATTCTTATTGATGTCAGTGCAGGGCGAGTACGGAACTCCAGGTTTCCAGTGGCGTTATTTAAGGTGTTCAGAACTTCTGAAAAAAGTACATACTTCTTTATTTATTCGATGTAAAAATTGAGAAAAATTACTCATTCATTATTCATTTGTGGACATTTTAGGTTAAATATTCATCATCATTATTATTGATATTAATTTGTTCATTGTTTATTCATTTTATATGAAATTCGCTTTAGTAAATGATATAACGATTATAATTATGTAAATGATCATCTAATACGTACATGGTGAATTAAAAAAAATATCAATTCCTAACGCATTAGACAATGCGTGAGAAATGAAGAATTTATAAAAATATTCATTTATTCCAAATGAAAAAAAATAATCGAATATTGACTCATTCAAAAACTTATTAATCGCTTATTATTATTGAATATTGAATGAAAATTTGCTTCATTTTCTGGCACGAAATAAAGGAATGGCAAATACTGGGTGGCTTAAATGTCAGGTTACAATGGCAAATGTTTCAATGGGAAAAGTTTCCATTGGTTATGGATTTGGGATTGAGATTTTTATTAATTAAAAAAAAATTATGGAACACTGACACAAAAATCTTAAAATATTTAATTTCACAGGCTAAATTTCAGCAACTAATGAAGATTTCCGAATTTTTCTCATTGACAAATTTTCCATTGTAACCTGACATGTAAACCACCCTGTATGTAAATAAATGAATGTATATTACCGGGATCTGATTTGTTGCGATAACCAATTCCAAGACTTTTCAAATTTGGGCAGCACGTTTGCAGCAGTTGGTGTAATGTTGCGATTAATCCGGCATCCTCAAAACTTATCCAGATCTCTTCCACCTTTGCGGAGAACTTATCGCAAACGTGGAGCAATTTGGATTCGGATGACATTATTCGTTGAGAAGGTGCATGGTACTTTCCTGGGCATCCGTGTTCACCAATGGATCTCGCAATTCGGGGCTCCATGGTGACACAGAATAGATGGAATGGGGTCGGATTACAGCACATTACACTCTGGAAACCTTTCTGGTAAAGTCGCAGGGTCAATTTGGGTTGGCGGAAGAAGAGCAAGATATCATTCCAAAAGTGGCAAACGAGTCGGGCCGTTTTTCCCGCGACGGAGTTGTTCTGCAAGATTTCTTGAAGGAGCTGTCAAAAAGTGAGGAATTTTATTAGTTGCTTTTATTAGTGTATGCACGCCAAATAAAGTTGAGTAAAATTTACGATGATACAACTAATACGTTGGAGGTCTCCCAACGTATGCTCAAAAATTTGGACGAAATTAGTGTCAATCGATCACAAATATAATTAGTATGAAATTTGCAAATGGAACTATCTGTCAATGCGCAGGTTTTGCAAAGATATTTGCATTTAAAAGTGGGAAAAACGCGCGCAAAGGCTGGCCAATTTTTATTTTCCAAATTTCCTGCGCATTTTTCTGCTTTGAATGCAAATATCTCCGCCAAACCTGCGTATTTGCAGATAGTTCCATTTGCACATTTCATACTAATTATACTTGTGATCGATTGACACTTGTTTGGTACAAATCTGTGAGCATACGTTGGGAGACAACCATTGTGAGTGTGTAAAATTTACCCGAAATTAAGCGAAAATTATACAACGTTGGGTAATTGGGTAACTTTCAAATTTTACACGACCAGTTGTGTCATAGCAAATTTTATTCAACATTGAGTAAATTTTGGTCAAATTTATTTATAGTGTATATACTAATGTAAACGCTCATTAATATGTACATATTAATGTTGCAACATATTTTACCATACATATTTCAGTAAATTATTGGAAAAACTTTATCGGAATTTTGAGCTTACATCTCCACAGTTTCTGTATTTATTGCTTTAAAGGCTAACATTTTCGACCTTACTTTTTAGCCATGTCTTTTATCCTCATTACTATTTACGCCCTGCCCTTATTCTCTTTATTTAGTTGTACCCACCCAAAAGCGATGGATATTACCTCATTATTCTTCAATTCTACCCTTTTATGCGATTTACAAATTTTGCACGATGGAATTCAGTTTTTCACCCTTGCTTCCGACCAGGTCCCCGTCAAAATTGTGTACCCGCCCAACTATTCAGCCCGCATTCAATCGAGGTCTGACTATCAGAAGGTACAATTACCATCAATAAATACCTTGAAATCCCGCCTTCCCCCATGCAAGTTAACCTTTCTAGTAAGTTCTCTTTCCACCGGACCTACCCAGGAAAACATATCATTGCCAGTGTCCCCCATTCTATCGCATTGGTTCAAAATAACGTCAGAGTATCACCTGTTTTATCAGAGTTATTTTCCATACCGGAAAAAACACCTAACATTCACTAATACACTCGTGGTTCTAATCTATACACGAAAACGGGAACATTTTTCTCAAGACGTTGGTTCTCACATCTTCTACGGGGATCACAAGTTTGTCAGGCTAAGCGTCATTTTTGTTACCCAAAAGAATTATAACTTATGTCATATTCTGATCAAAAAATGGGAAAGATTTCAGATCCAGAACTGCCTCTTTACCGATCATCATGTAAAGGAAAATCCTCTTCATTTCCTCTTCAAAGGTCCCAAATCTATCAAATTGTGCTGCGAGCTACCTTTTGGGGAAGAGGTTAACCCAAACTATCCAAGATTACCAACTAATCCATTTGATCGCAGAGTTAACTATTCGATAACCCGATTTGTTCAAACCATTGCCAGTAAAACGAATGCGTCCATACATTGGGAAAATGGAACTGGCTACTGCCAGGCGCAAGAAAAATTAAAAATCAACCCGCAACTTGACGACCTTTACTGGGAATCAGTCTTAATAGTATCAAAAATTAACGGCTACACGTATTTGTCTTGCTACTCCGATAACTATGTATCATTTAAATTCTACTTAGCCCCCTTTCAGCCCGCAACGTGGTTATCCTTAATCATCTCATTATTCGTGGTGATAAGCGTTTTGTCAATGAGTACCAATTGGAGGCCTGATCGATTTTCCACCCCAGCATGGTTATACGCTAGTGGCACGTTATTTGCTCAATGTTATGTTCCCCTGTGGAAAATAGAGATTCCTTACTTTCGCATCTTGTTTAACATTTGGTGTCTAATGTTGGTGATTTTATCAAACGGCTACACTGGGTTGATTACGACCGAATTAAATTCGCCATTTCCTACTTCCCATCCGGAAGTTTGGGAGGACCTTGTTTGTAAAAAATTACCCAGCCCAGAAGACAACTCAACATCCGCATACCATATTGGAAATCAATTTGGGACCTACGTCGAAAAGTTGATCCGAGTTACACAAACACGCGAAAAATTACTCATGTCGGAGCCAGATAACTGTTTCCATTTGTTATCACTGCCGAAGGAGTATAATACAGGTTATCCTGCTTGGCCAATGTTCGTATACTTTCTAATTGACCAGTGTTTCCGTATGGAAAAAAGATTTACAAATTCCTATATGGACAGGCAACTTCTACGATCCCTAAACCTGCTGATGCCACAGAACTACCACCATACTCGTGATTTTGATTACGGGACAAAATACAATGACTCGACCGAGTTACAGAAAAGTGTTGAGAAGGAAGTGGTAGATTGTAGGAGAAAATCGGTTTTCATCTCACACGAACATCTTGTGGATGAGGAGTACAGACTTTTGTCCAAGTATTACGCTGGGAAGAAGTTTTACAAGGGCAGAGATGTCTTAGCCAGCGGTAGTTTATTTAATGGGTTGGCTTTCCCGCTGGTCGGGAAAGGGTCCCGGTTGGTGAGATATTTTTCGTATTTAGTGAACACCGGAATTTACGGGCGTATTGAGCAAGAATTGGGAGAAAGGAGGATGTTATTTAAAACAGCAGCAGTTACATTAAGCAAAGTGAATGATAGAGTGGTTCCATTAAGTTTGGATGGCACCATTGTTACAGTGTTCGTTTTGTCGGGTTGGTTGATTATTTTGGCCGGAGTTGTGTTTATGGTCGAGAATAACGCAAGAATCGGTAAATTTTTTGGATATAATTTAGGTGTAATACCTAGAATATTATGGTAATAACTTATTCTGGAAAATTCTTATAAGGCTCATGGCTTATAGAAATACAGGTTAGGGTGTATCGTATTAAAGAAAGCAGCAATAAATAAATAAACAAAAAGGCATTTTAAACAAAGCATTAAATAAGGAATTACTATCATTACAAGGACAATTATTTTCCTGCAAAGTTTTCCTCGGAGTATTCGCTAAAAAATTCTACTAAATAAGGTTTCTGAATTTTTAAAATTAAAAATTCCTCAGCATTAGATAAATACATTATAAGATGAATTTAAGTGAACTTGTTCAAAACAGAGATAAATTTATAAAAAAATTAAAACTGGTAAAATTAAAAATCATTCATTTACAAGACTCAAGGAAGTAAAATAAACTCGATAATAATCTAGCACATAGTGTAGAATTTACCAACGCGAAACAAGATAATCATTACATATTCATAATTCCATACCATTTAATTACTTAGAATACGCACGAAAATTATAGATTTGAATTATGACACATCGTCGTACTATTTCTACAAAGGCCTAAGTACAGTCAATGCTTTATTTTACAAAGGCCTATGTGCAGTCAATGCTTTATTTTACAAAGGCCTAAGTGCACAATAAAAACTATTAAAAAGGCCTAACTGCAATTCCAAAATTACAAATAGTTAATTAATCATGTAAAATCATACTTGACCGTGAAGTACGAATATTATAGTCAGATGAGGCTATTCCTAATATAATCTATATTATAATTTCGAAAAGTCCGTGTCGTGAAATTTTCCGTGACATTCCTGCATTCTGATTGGCTGTTGGTTTTCCTGCTCCACCAATCAGGGAACAGATACGAATTATGATTATGATTATGATTATTATTATGATTATGATTATGATTAGAACTTAAAAAAACTTCCTTAGCGACATAAAAAAAATTCCTTAGCAACACAAAAAAATCTCCTTAGCAACATAAACAAATTTCCCTACCAACGTTGAAAAATTTCCTTAGCAACATAAAAATATTTCCTTGGCAACGTTAAAAAATTTCCTTAGCAATGTTAAAAAATTTCCTTGGCAACATAAACTTTCCTTAGCAACGTTAAATAATTTCCCTAGCGACATAAAAAAAAGTTTCCTTAGCAACATAAAAAATTTCCTTAGCAACGTTAAAAAATTTCCCTAGCAACCTTAAAAAATTTCCCCGGCAACATAAAAAATTTTCCTTATCAACATTAAAAAATTCCTTAGCAACGTTAAAAAAATTACCTTAACAGCATACAAAAATTTCCTTGGCAACATAAAAAAATTACCTTAGCAACATAAAATTTTCCTAGCAACGTTAAAAAAATTCCCTAGCAACATAAAAAAACTTCATTAACAACTTCAAGAAAATTGCCTAGCAAGTTGACAAAATTCCTTTGCAAGACGAAAAAATTCCTTAGCAGCGTTAAAAAGTTTCACGTGGCCCGTCTTTAGGACGGGCTTATAGGCTAGTACTCTATATTTCAATGCCACACCCTACAGGGGTGTGGTACTTGGGACCTAAATTATGTTAACAAAATCCTGGCATGTAATATTTCATTTTCCTCAGCCCGATAAGGCAATCTAAATGGATCATTATAAATTTGAAAACCACACCCTCAGAGGGTGTGGTGATCGGCGTCAGGTTTGATTTAATAAAATGCTGGGGTGTTATGTTTAATTTATGTCAGCCCAGTAAGGCCATCTCAAAGAATTATTATAAATTTCAAAACCGACGTGAATAACTGACGCTGACAACCACACCCCCTGAGGGTATGGTTTTTAAATTTATAATAATCCATTGAAATATTCGTGCCAGGATTTTGTTAACATAATTTAGGTCCCAAGTACCACACCCCTGCAGGGTGTGACATTGAAATATAGAGTATTATATTAGGAATAGCCTCATCTGACTATAATATTCGTACTTCAGGGTCAAGTATGATTTTACATGATTAATTAACTATTTATAATTTTGGAATTGCAGTTAGGCCTTTTTTATAGTTTTTATTGTGCACATAGGCCTTTGTAGAAATAGTACGACGACATGTTTTATTAAAACTGTTCACGAGCAGGGTGGTTTCTCATGATTTACATTGGCTCGGTTATAAACGATCGGAGCCAAGCCTACGCCAAGCCGACCTGGGTGCCTTCGAAATTCGACCAGATTTTTGTTCTGTAAAATACCGCTGCAGGGATTAGTATTAATATTCAAATTTTTGGAACTCGTGATCTAAATTTTTAAGGGAAAATTGTCGTACTTGAAAACTCGGAATATAAAACCTGCAACATTCCTCAACTAAATATTGAGGGTATTCGTTATTTCTTCGTATCCGTTGTATCGTAAAATAGTTTACGAAGATAAAACAAGGGGTCAGGTTTCGTAAAAATCGTAAGCGTAGTAACGCGATTTTCGATGACAAAATCTTACGACGCTTACAAAATCTCGGCAGCGTCGTAAGCTATTTTACGATACGAAGAATACTAAGGATACGAAGAAATAATGAATACCCTCATTATCAGCTTTTCATCAAGAAAGTAATAATTTCTGAATTTACATATTTAAGTGTGTAAAGCACTGCAGAATCATCGCTGAAATTTTGAAGATTATTAAAATATTGAGGAGAACCCGCCCGCCATAGGGACTTATTTAGGAATACTTTTACCAAAAAATGCGTCATCTTCCAAAGGACAACTTAAGGAATTGACTCTATGATAGAACACAACTCTTCTCACCCCCTCAACCAATTTTATCCCTTGAGCATAATAATTGTCTGCGATCGTATGCTCGAGGTACTCCTCAGGCGTGAAGTCGATCCCAAGCAGGGTTTCCTTACAGCCCGCCGGAACCATTGGCAGGACCGGAAGTGGCGGTGATTGCCGTTGGTCGAGATTATCGTCCCTTTTCTCCGGTCTCTTTCTCACCTCGGAGGGCAGCAGACTACTCGCCAACCAACCGCCACCTTCAGACGGAAAGAGGGACGGATTCAGTCTTATTGTGGTGCGTGGGTCCGTCACGTACAACAGGATATCGGGGTCGAGGGGAGAAGGAACTGGGCCAACGTTAGGTTCCTCGGCTGATCCCATTAGATCCGATTTCTCACTTTTACCCGATCTGATTACGTCAGGTTCATCGTGTGCACCTGGCACGCGGAGATGAGATGATTGGCGTTTTTCTTCGGTACGCAGATCCGGCTTGTCTTCCTCCTTAAGCGAGGAAAGTGGGTCAATAGATACTCCTTCGTCTTGTAATTTCGCCTCCGTCTCGTTGGAAATTTGGTCTTCACGGTCTTTTTCGAGTTTAACTACTCGGGTAAATTCTGGCTCGGGCTTGTCTAATTTGTTCCCCTTTGTTTTGTTTGGTACAGTAGAAGAATTATTCTTGATGGGTGGATAAAATTGTGGAGGCTGTGAATTTGACTTGAAATGTCGTGGTCTTGAAGTTGGAGAATTGATCCGTGCTGGCAGTAAAGTTGGCTTGACATATGGAGGAATAGAAGTTGGCTGCACAGGGGGAGGAAGTGAGGTTGTCTTGGCAGCCGGATGCATTGAAGTTGAATTGATCCCAGGTTGGTGTGAATTTGAGTTACCCCATGGCCACTGTGAATTTGGGTTACCCCATGATGTCTTTGAATTTTGGTTACCCCATGACCACTGTGAATTTGGGTTACCCCATGATGTCTTTGAATTTTGGTTACCCCATGACCACTGTGAATTTGGGTTACCCCATGATGTCTTTGAATTTTGGTTACCCCATGACCACTGTGAATTTGGGTTACCCCATGATGTCTTTGAATTTTGGTTACCCCATGACCACTGTGAATTTGGGTTACCCCATGATGTCTTTGAATTTTGGTTACCCCATGACCACTGTGAATTTGAGTTTCCCCATCCTGGCTGAGAATTTGGGTTTCCCCACGGATGCTGTGAATTTGGGTTATCCCATGGTGGCTTAGTACTTGGTTTGACCCATAACGAAGGTGAAGTTGGACTAACGTATGGTGGTAGTGAACATGTCCTCACTACGGCTTCAGGTTTTCCCTTCCTTCCCCGTTGCGCCTGGGCAAACATCATTTCCGTTGCCCGACGCATTGCTTCTAAGAAGGGATGTGGCGTTGTGTGATCTGCCATTTTAGGCTTGGCCTGGCAGGCTGACATTGGGACCGTTCGGACCACTATTACCGGCTTTATCAACTTTACTGGCCGTAAATTTGGGTAAAAGTAGGAAATAGGTGACCGTTTTACAGGTTCAGATCCATACGCGGTGGCGCCGATTTGATTCAATGTCTTTATTTCCTCGACAAGCGGAAAGTTCTTGGCCTTGGAAAGAATGACCTTCTCCAGTGTGCAAAATTCGGAACTTATTTTCCAATCCTTGTTTACTATCTCCTTCCCCAGGGGACCAAACTTCCCGGTGTGGTCGATCATCACCATTATTTGATGCAGTTCGAGTAAACTCTGGAATTAAAGAAAAACTGTTTCATTATAGAAGGAGTGAACTTCTGGCTAAATGTAAGTATTTAGTGAGATATGTATATTTTTAATGTGCAATATTAATTCATACATAAGTTTCATTCAGATCAAATTATAAGGTTGAAAAATATAACAGAATATGAAAGACATATATATTTATGTGAATGTGTTGAAACTTAACTGTGTATAACTTTTGACATAAATTCCGTGTTAACATTAGTGATTCAGAAGTTAAAACCGATTAAGTTAATAATACATACGGTTTAAAAATTCTCACATATCAAATCGAAATTACAAATTTGGTATCTGAATCGTTCAATTTTTCATAGTACATCCTCTGTATGTTCTTTCATTAAAGGTGAACAACAAACCTTGGCGTGCTGCTGGATGCAAAAAGTGAAGAATTCCTTCATTTTTCGACATATTTTAGTGGGAAGGGGGCCCTTTTCTTTGTGCAGGATATCAGCGTAAGCCCAACAAAGCATGATCCATTGTCTGCCCTCCACTGCAGGCTGTACATAAAAAAAATAAAAATTTACCCTCTAAAGAGTATTATTCGCGACAACAAAATTCACTAATTTTATGGCATGCTAAGATTGAACACAGATCATGTTCATTGTGCGACAGGAGCAATTATATATACCGTGGTTTTAATAAAACTCAAAAAAAGCCAGAAAAAAATCAAGGCATACTGAGAAACCTCAAAATGTTTTGGAAGAAAATAATAAAATTTTACAATCCTTTAAATCCCTCAAAATGACGACAGATTTTAGAAAATAGTGAAAACATACGACCAGATTTGTTAACTAGACAAACATTTAAGTTTAGATTTAAAAAAAAACTTGGACGAAGAGTTGCTGAAAATTTTTTGCACAAAGTTGTTGAAAGAGTTTCCGCAAGTTACGTGAAATTACGTTCTTTTCGTTCTGCGACAAAAGATCCATTTGTTTCTCCATACTTACTTTCCCCACCGTGTCCTCGAGGTATCGGAGACACCTAAATTTATCCAGATGACTCTCGCCCGTGGTCAAGGCGACTAATTCCCTAATTTGGATGGATTCCGATGTGATGCAAATGTTACACGGCGTTACACCTTCAACTTTGTTATGTTTACAATCTTTACAGTTTAAACTAATGTAGTCAACTCGGTCTCTAAATTCGCCCAAGTTTTGTTTCGGTTTCATTCTTATGCACACTTTGTAAATATTTACACACTTTTAAGGGCAGGGCTTTTGCAGTGTAATTATTTAAATTATGTAAGTTAATAATTTCTGAAGTGTGTAAATGTACATACGGATTTTTTTTACTTGTGGAATATGTGTTTAGTTAGATATTAGGAGATTAGATAGATATATATCCTTGCCCTTTGGGATCAGGGCACTTGTATGTAAAATACATAAGTAAGCTGAGCTGGGATGATACATATTTACATATATCCAGATTCAAGACAGCGTTCAAGTGTTACAAGATAAGTATGTAGAAGTTTATGCATGCCCAAACCTTATGTGTCAAATGATACATAAACATGCATACATTAATACATACATACATAACAAGCATGTGAATGGTTTCATACATATGTATGTGCGTACATACATACATACGTAGGTATGTATGTATGTACTTGCAATGGTTAAGGAGTTGGGCCCGTTCTACGCAACGGAAATAAATAATATGTCGGAATTAAACCATATCCAGTACGAGTAGCAGCATACATATTTACATATGTGCATACATACATACACTGTTAAATGTCTGGCAGAGTCACATATTTAGATACTCCGTGTTGGTATTGATTTGGTACCAGACCCACTTACTTAACTGGTAATAATACATTGTCCATCATGACGATCACTAGAATCCCACCATCCGCATCCAACGTCGACGAAATGTTAAAAATTTAAATGTGTTTAAACACATTAAAAATATGAAAACAATTCTCCTAAAATAAAGTTTTGAATTTTGAACCTGAAATTTTTCCAGTTTTTTCAAATTTAAAAAGTGTACCTGATGTAATTTAGGTTATTTTTTGATGCCGTGATGCGTGATGTTCGTCCATAAGTTTGGCCAAGCAAGAAAGTTAGTACCAAGCAGTACTAACTTTCTACCAGATTGGCAGTAAATTGAGTGGTACATTTTCTTACCACAACATTACTGAACGGTGATTCCCGTTATAAACAAGCCGGCAGAGTCACATATGTATGTATGTATGTACATAGTCCGATCGGTAATGATTTAATACCAGTTTTCTAAGAGTGTACATAAGTATTTAAGAAGTAACCACCCATTGAAACACTCTGCAAAAAAAAACGAAGCGGTCTCTTTACTTCACTAATGCTTTATTATCAAACTTATAGTTGAGCGGAATCCTATCACGCGAAGACTTTGTCTGTCTGTCCATCTGTTGGTCTGTCAGTCTGACTCTTAGGTATATAATATACCTAAGCACTCGAGCGACGAGAGGTCGACGCCGCCGATCTCAAGCCGCCGCGCCGCCATACCCCGATGCATTTTGCGCGCCGCCGCGGGCGAGAAATTTGATTTCCTATTCCAGCAACATTGCGACGCCGCACCGCGCCGTCGCCGCCGCCGAAACTTTGTCGGCGTCGACCTCTGAGAGTGACAAAACGTTGATACTTGTTTTCATATAAATATATACATGCATATGTAACCGTTGTGATTCGTGATTGTGATTTTTGGTCGCGATTGGTTGCGACTGTGATTCCTACCAAAACAATCAATTCCGAAATCATAAATTTATAAGCATTTTGTCCTTCAGCCGACAATACACTGTTAGAAATCTATCACGCAAGTGTTGCGTTATCGGTATTAAACTTGCTACTGTTCGGTACTAAACTGAACCCGTTCCGTAAAAATATGCTATTGATACGACACAACTTTAATACCGAGCTGCATATTCTTACACACTGAACATCCTAAGTATTATTTTAATACTGGATTGCTACATAAGAGTCTAAGAGCAAAATCATGAGGTCACAGTAGCCCTTGGAAGGGTTAAATTTTGTCCATACACAAAATGAATGATGCAAATTAAATAGAAGGACAAGGGGCACAAATGCCGATCTGGGGCCAAGACTTTTTATTTTTTAATTTTGAAGATTATGATGGTATAAGAATAAATCAGTGTGCTATAAAATAAAATAAAACAATTGGGAACTTTCGAAAGAATGACGGGAAATTACAAGGGATTATTTAGATTGTAGATTTAACCGATCAATAAAATTCGTCAAATTCTAAAAAGTCAACGTATGTATGTATATTTGGAATTCATGAATATTTGAAACTATGCAATCGTGTCAAGCTTTAATCACTTAAAGCGTTTGTCTTGCATCATTCGAACAAAGGAACCTCATGCACTGTGCGATCTCGATTTCCTTTCAAATAAATATGCAGTCTTAATTTATAGACAATGAACTGAAACTAAAACTTTGTCACAGAAAATGGGACTTACATTCTTTCCCAATGTTTGGCTGCCAGCGGTTGTCAAGGTTGACAAATGATCTTAAAAGCATTGAGGAAATGGCAGAGTTTGGTGTGCAACTCTCGCCAAATATTTCGCGAAAACACGATTTTGCACTGCACATTTTTCAGGTTTGCTAAATATCTACACAATATCCATAAATTAAGATTATCTGTAAGGAAATCGCGACGGGCAACTTTGGGTTCCCTTGTAAGTGTTGAATAATAAATAAATAGTTTATTGTCACGATAACGTTGCTTAACAACTATTTTAAACTGTGGTAGTGTTTGTAACTTATTTTAGAACAACGCTTTGCACTTTATATTATACCCTGGTGGAGCAACAGGTCGTCCATTATGTAATATGCAGCCCAACCGGCCGTGCATACATAAGTATTTGAACCTTAGTTTCAAGATTAATCTTATTTTGATCCTGGCAAACGTGTAAAAACTGTAGTTTGGCAGAAATTTCAATTAAATATTAATCCTAGTAATAATAATTTGCGGAAACATAAATACATACATACAGGAAATTCTATATAAATTCAGTGTACCCAAGTAGCCAGAAAAACAACGAATTTTGAGGTGATAATAAATATCTCTCATTCAATGGTGATTAAATCAAGCCCTGCCAGTAACAATTTATCCCCGCTCGGCCAAGGTTTATAACTATGCGGTAATGCACCGTCTTCTCGCCGCATGGAGACGATTAACACAAAGTTTTTAAGAGTTATCCTATGAAATTCAATATACTACTTACCATATTTGTATATGTAGATTATCAGGAAAACTTAGCAATTATCGGCTCACAGTTCCCGAATATTTTGAAAAGTTAACATTCTCGACCCTCTATTTAGTCATGTCTCTTATCCTCCTAAGTATTTACGCCTTGCCCTTAATTGCGTTTGCTTATTGTACCAACCAGGGTACTATTGATATTGATATTACCTCATAATTCTCCAATTCTAATCTTTTATGCGATTTGCAAATTTTTTATGATGGCGTCAACTTCTTAACCATTGCCTCTGACCATGTCCCCGTCAAAACAGTGTACACGTCCAACTATTCATCCCGCATTCAATGGAGTTTAGACTATCCGAATGTACAATTTCCCTCCATTGATATCCTACAATCTCGCCTTCCTCCTTGCAAGTTAACCTTTCTAGTAAGTTCCTTCTTCACCGGAGGTACCCAGGCACAAATGACTCCGTCCAATTTGGAGAAATGGCTAACCTTAACGTCAAAATATCACCTATTTTATCAGAGTTATTTCCCATACCACAAAGTATACTTACCCTCGAGTGATACGTTCGTGGTTCTTATCTATGCGCGAAAACGGGAAGATTTCGATCAAGACGTACGTAATCACGTAAGTAGCTACATCTCGGATCCCAGGTTTGTCCAACTAAGCGTCCTGTTTGTTAACCAAGAGAACTATAACTTGTGTCATATTCCGATACAAGTATGGAATAAATTTCAGTTGATAAACTGCCGATTTATCGATAAACATAAGAAGGGAAACGCTCTTGATATCCTCCTCGATAACCAAAATTATCCTAAGCTTATCAAATGTTGCTACAAGGTGCTAATTGGAGAAGATATTCATATAAAATACCTGGGATCGAATAATCCATTCGATCGTGGCGTTAACTACTCGATAACGAATTTTATTCAAACCGTAGTTAATGAAGCAAATATTACCGTACATTTCGAACCTAGCGCGGGCCATTGTGGGGCATCTGAAGAATTAACAATAAACCCACTAATATCCGAGCTTAATTGGGAATCAGTCGTAATACTAACAAAGCTTAATGGTTACACATATTTATCCTGTTACTCTGACAAGTATGTGTCATTTCAATTTTACGTTGCCCCTTTTCAACCCGCGACGTGGTTATCGTTAATTGTTTCCTTATTTGCGGTGATAAGCGTTTTGACACTGACTATTAAGTGGAGACGCTACCAATTTTCCACACCGGTTTGGTTATACGCTTGGGGGACTTTATTCGCTCAATGTTATATTCCCAGGATGAGGATTCCCTACTTTCGCATCGTTTTTAATATTTGGTGTCTTATGATGGTGATTTTATCAAACTGCTACACTGGATTGATTACGACCGAATTAAATTCGCCATTTCCTTCCTCGCATCCGGAAGTATGGGAGGACCTCGTTTGTACCAGATTACCCAGGGAAAACAACTCAACATCGACATACCACATTATCAAACAGTTTGGTACATACGTGAATAAGTTAATAAGAATTCTACAAACCCGTGAAGACTTACCCATGCCTGAGCCAGATAATTGTTTCCATCTGTTATCACTCCCCCTTGGGGATGTCGCTGGTTATCCGATATGGCCCATGTTTGCCTACTTTTTAATTGGCCAGGCTGCCCGTGTGGAAAAAACAGTACTTACAAATTCGTATATGGATAGGCAGCTTCAACGATCTTTAAACCTGTTAATGCCACAGAATTACCACCATACCCGAGATTTTAATTACAGTAAAAAGTACAATGATACGACCGAGTTACGGAGAAGTATTGAAAAGGAAGTGGTAGATTGTGGAAAAAAATCAGTTTTCATTTCGCATGAACATCTTCTCGATGACGAGTACCAATTTTTATCTAAACATTACGCCGGAAAGAAGTTTTACAAGGGTAAAGGCGTCATTGGTGGAAGTGATTTATTCAATGGATTAACTTTCTCACTGAATTGGAAGAATTCCCTTTTAGTGAGATATTTTTCGTATTTGATGGACACCGGAATTTACTGACGTATTGAGAAAGAATTGGAAGAGAGGAGATTTTTATTTAGAAAAGCAGCAGTTACTTTCAGTAAAGTCAATAATGGGGCTGTTCCAATGAGTTTGGAGGGAACTATT